TGTCGCGCTGTGATGACGTCAGCTACGCGGTTTCGTCGAGCACCCTTTAGTCGAACGCGGTTTTGTGGTGGAACCCTTTCCCATTTCTTTGTCTTCCAAATTACCTAACATTTTGTGCTGTCTTACTGAAGAATCTGGAAGGTATCATTTTTCTGTAAATAAATAAACCTGAAGACATTTATAATGTTCTGAATGCTCAATAAATATTTGATTTATTGAGTAAATTGAAGATGCCGAACTTGGATAGTTCTGTTTGGACCATTAACCTACTAATAGTAGCACTTGGGCCAGGCCCGTTGAACAGAATCAGGTCTACAGTTGTAGACTAGATTAGGAACTTGGAGAAACATTCCAAAATGCAGTGACAAACCACATTGGTACAGGGGGTCCTTGACATACAGCAGTTCGTTTAGTTCCAAGTTACAACGGCATTGAAAAAATGGACTTGTGACCATTTTTCACTCGTACAACCGTTGCCGCATCCCATGATCACGTGATCCAAATTCAGACGCTTGGCAACTGGCATGTATTTATGACAGTTGCAGTGTTCCAGGGTCTTGTGATCACCTTTTGCGACCTTCTGACAAACAAAAGTCAATAGGGAAGCCAGATTCACTTAACAGCTGCGTGACTAACTGAACAACTGCAGTTATTCACTTAACAATTGTGGCAAGGAAGGTCGCAAAATGGGCAGAACGCACTTAACAACATCTCACTTAGCAACAGAAATTTTGAGCTCAGTTGTGGTTGTAAGGTGAGGACTACTTGTATTGTCCAACCTGCTGGAGGCAAAGATTAACAGAGCTAGCAGATCAGCTTCTTGGATGCATACTATCAAAATGATCTTTACTGATGGGAAAGCATCATCAGGAGGAAAGGCTAAAGGGTTTAGCATGCAAGATCATTCTTTAGAGCAAGGGTCACCAACCTTTCAGACTCAGGGACCACTAAATTCATGATTTTAAATCCCACAGTCCACTAATACGATTTAAAAAAAAAGATAAAACAGTATTTAGTGCAATATAAAAATGCAAAACAAAAATTTCTGTGGACCACCAACATTTTCTCGCAGACCACCACCAAGCAGTTGTGACCACTGCTTTAGATCATATATAACATCTAGTGCAAACATTGACCCGTGAGCTTTTGCTGCTGGAAGCAAATTTAAATCTTTGCTGTCTATTCACCTTTCTATCAAACCATCATCGGCCTGTGTATCAATTATCCGTTTCTTCAATGACTTTGTTCCCGATCAGCAATTTTCAACCTGACAAAAAGTTCTAATTTTGGTAAAGATTATTTTAGCAATATATTATACTGGAGAAATCTGTTCAGCTATTCATGATCCACAGCACTGAAGTAGGCTATGAATACTCATTAATTCTATCAGGTAAGTTGAAATTGATTATGTATATCCAGGCAAGTCAGGTCAGAGAACCGAATATATTTAAATCTCTAAATAACTTAGGGACTGATTATCTCAGGGACCCCTTCTATCCTGATGAAATTCCCCAGAAATTTAAGACCGGAAGGAGAGACTTAAATATGCCTCTGTTTATAGATGGCCAAGTGTTCAGAAACAGTGAAGGGGTCTTTATCCAGAATCACTTCCAAGCTATGGAGCACATGCCCTCCAGGAGTTGCTTTTACTCCTAGGCCTCCTCTTTTGCTTAGATTTACATTTTATATTAATATGTTAATTTTGACTTGTTCCATATGTGTAGTTCAGTTGGGTTCTTGGTGCTCTCTGTTTTGTTGCAGATGTGTAATTACTAATTCAGGAGCCATCAAACCATATGAAGGAGAATGAGGTTTCCTGGCTGTTTATAGATAGCAGGCTGTCCTGCCAGACTTAGTGGTGGTGTGGTTTCTTTGATGGATGGCTCTTGATTAAGGTATTGTTTCTTCCTTGATTGCAAGTATTTTTTCCTGCTTATTTGGATATTGGATGCTGGAGGAATCCTATTCTAAGCTCTTGGTTTTCTTTCTAGGTTTTTTTATTATACTTGTTTAATTGGCAAGTAAATGAGATTTATGTGTCTATTGACATTTTATGTATGTGTCAGGATTCCAAAAAACACCCCCTAATGAAATAAAACTCCGAGGCGTGTGTGGTTCCTCAAAGTTCCAATTAGAGATGTCATGTTGGCACATCTGGGAAAACCCAAATCTGAAAGCTTCCAGGTTTTCCCACCCAGATGAAAGTTCAAGATCCTGCCCCAACATCCACAAGTCCATCACATGGTCAGATCTTCCACTGCCACAAAGACAGATTCCTCCCTTCCACATCTGGCCAGGTGCAGAGATAAAAGCGACTTTGACTTTCTAAGAAGAATGCTATTATGGCTACACATCACCCAACTCCATATAATCCCCCCTCCCAATTTCCCACAGTAGAAAGTGTGGCAGGCCTGAAATCCAAAAAGAAAAGGTGGCTTGCAGGCATGACGGTATGTCTATTCATCTTGCAACCCATTGACAGACCCAACCACAGTTTCACCTGGGAAACTGTACATTTGAGATCAAGTTAAATCCCAAAATATCAGGAATTCCTGGAAACTTGATATTCACACAAATCAGCCATCACTAGACCCAGAAAGCTAATCTCACACTCTTCTTACACTGATGTAACCTTGCCCGGTAATGAAACGTCTCCAAGGAAAAAGCAGAGCTCGGAGAGCATCAACAATTTGTTTTCACTTATAGTTCATTTTGTTAGGAACCTCATGCTCTTAATGAATGTGTCTAAAGGTGATGAGAGTCAATAGTTCAACTAATATGAAGAATGCACCTTTGCAGATACTGATTATGTAACTTTTGTTTTTTCTCTCCCCACTAAAAGCTCAAACTCTAGCATCTTCAACGGTTTGTGGGGCCAGTTTTAATTGTAAAAGGTAAAAGGACAAAAAGTTATTTCCATTCTCAAGGAACAGAGAGCAAGGATGAGCAAAGTTTGAGTTGGTTTGCCATAGCTGCATTTCAGAAAACAGGCAAAGCAAGGGTAAAAAGTTATCTGGAATCTGGACAAAAAGGGGGAAAATGATTTTTTTTTAAATGTAAATGTAATTACAATTACAACTTAACTTTAAACTCCTATAAAGTATCTTCAAAAACCACAGAAGGAGCTTTTTAAAATTCATAAGGTTATCAAAACCTCATCTTTTTTTTATCCCCCCAATATTGGTATGCAAAATAGATGACCTGAAGGTCACTCGCAATATGTGCCACTATGAGAAAGTCTGTAATTCAAAGCACAGGGCAAGCTCAGTTCCTGGGCTTTGTAAGTGGGAAAATTCCTATCTTAAATTTGGAGATCACCTTAAGCCTGCAATAACACGACTGTTGTCCCTGGTTACGAGCTGCATAATTAATACCAAAGACTTAATAGGGCTTTCATATGTTCTGGGTATGAATGCCAAATAAAAGAATCCCCCCGCCCCTCTTCACATTTTATACCATATTGCCTCATTTTAACCAAACTCCCTACCGTGTAGCAATTAGCCCACAGATTACACTTTGCATTCACCCCCACCCCCACCCCCACCCCAAGATAATTGTAGCTACTAAAACGTTCTCCCAACTGTCCCGTTAAAGTTTGTTTGGCTTTCTTCCTTTAGGTAGCCAGAAAGCCAATAACCCGGGGGAGTGAGAAATTACGTTGCACATTAAAAAAAAAAAAAAAGATAATGGACTGTTGCCGGAGGAGCAGGCGAGGGAGAACGTTCCTTTCGCTTCCCCTCTCCGGGTCCACAGTTTCCATGGCGACCGCCGACACAATGTTCTATCCCGAGAATGTAGCGATTCTCACTTTGAACCAATCGGGATGGAGAGCGTTCCGCCGGTTACCAATCACGAGCGACGCCTAGAAGATAGGCACAATAAGGCGATAGTGCTAAGGTCTCTCAGCGAAGCTAGCGCGGGAGTCGTACATCCCAGAATCTAAGGTAGCGGGAGGGAGGAGGGGAGGTCCGGGTCTTTTTTTTGGTGGGGGGAGAGTAATTCCTACCCGGGATCGGAGCCTTTGGGGAAACACCGCATCCCATCCCTCCTAATAAAAAGATTTTGCTACTTGGCTGGGCCCAGGAGGTTTAAAGCATTTTGAGTGATCTCAGTTGAGACAGGTTAATCCGAAGGCATTGTATACATTATAGGATCTTATGGAATGTGAGAGCTGAACTATATCATCCGAAAAAGTAGTTCCCCCCCCCCCCTTCGCGGGAAAGAGAAGACAACCGATCCGGCTGCAAAAGAAACGAAGCCGATGCAGTCACCTTCGGGACAACCCGTCCTTTGTCAGAGAGCGGAGAAGAAAAAATAACCGCTGGTTCCAAAGACAGATCCAGATGTTCTGCTATCAGGCCCGCTCCGGAGGGAGAAAAAAAAGACCCGGAACCGGCCTTCGGCCTGCCAGCAATCTCCTTATCAGAAGCGGAGGAGCATGCAAATAGAAGGGGAGGCGAGCAGGATCACCACAGGCACAATAAGAGAGGCGGGGGTGGCACCCAGCCGCTCCTGAACTGCGCTGAGCCGAGGAGCAGCCTGAGGGGGAAAAGAAGCTAGAAGGAACTAAGGGCGGACGGAAAAGACTGCAGCAGGCAGGGTTGTTGAAAAGACGGCTCTGGTCCGAAGACCCGCGGGGTCCGGCAGGTGGTTCCTCCATGTGGAGCCTCCAACCTAGAAAAGTGCTCCGAAAAGGCGGCGGACTCCGGCGATGACCGCGCTAAGCGAGGCCAACACTTACGCACCTGCCAACACTCAATCTATGGACAGTAATATAGTGGCCATTATTATAGCTACCAGTGAGTATTTTGGACGCCTGTCCCTCCCTCTTTTTCTTTTTCCTTTGGGATTGATGTGTTTGCCTTCGATTCTTTTTAGGGATGGAGAAAACTCCACTGCCTTTCCTCCCCCTTCATTGTATTGCCCAAAGCCATGCTTGTCTTTCTCTCCATGCAGGCACATGGTTAGTTTATAGCTGGGCTCTTCTGTGCTGCAGGGTTTGTGACTTTTTTTCTTCTTCAGAAAAGTGGTCTCTGGAACGATCTCCCCGTGGAGATTCGGACCCTCGCCATCCTTCAGGCTTTCCGTAAAGCCGTTAAGACCTGGCTGTTCCAGCAGGCCTGGGACTGTTGAGTTCCACCCCTACTGGAATTGGTTGTGCTTGTTGTGACTTTTAAATTGTTTTGTATTGTTGTTCTGTTTTTGTTTTACTTTTTTGTATTTGTTCCCCTCCCTTCTGGTTTGTCAGCTGCCCTGAGTCCCTTCGGGAATAGGGCGGCATACAAGTCGAATAAACCATAAACCACAAACCATAAGTAAATGCTCTCCAGGGTTATTAGGACTACAACTCCCAGCATGTAAACTCACCAGTCTGTAAGAGGCGTGCAAAAGCACACCAGCATGCCTACCGTCCCTGTCCTACTGTCTCCATTTATTCATACCCATTTTATGTGTTCATATTTATGTTTATACTTATACCTGTTATCTTTTATGTGTTTGACAAACTAAATAAATACAATAAACTAAATAAATAAAATTCCCAGGTTCATGGTCAAAGGAATCAAGATTGAGGAAAGCTGAATTACAGATATAATATTCTGTTTACCTTGGTTCCAGAAGCAAACCCAGATTTCAGTTACAGAAGTAATGCTGTACTAAGCCATTGAATATTTGATCCTGGTTTGCTCACTAACCATAGTCTCATATACAGTACATGGTATTAAGATACTGACTGTGGCTATTTGGCACTGAACCCAAATCAAACCAAGCCACATTGAGGCATAGTATAATGTGGGAATTAGCTAGTATCTGTGTGCATGGTGCTCTCTTGTGTCTTGTGTGAGAAGATGGGGAGAAATCTTTGTAGTTCGACAGGGAATTCTGATTTCACATAGGTGACTCTGAGCAGAGTACAAAGTTAATAACACAAAAACAATGCAGAAAACAACCAAAAAACATTCTAAGAAAAATCTTTTGAAAAACAAGAAAAATCATTAGAAGCCATAAACTGTTTATAATATGCCATGTGATTCATTATCAAACTGTTGACTTCAGAAATTGCCTCAGCCTTTGGACAAACTGATCAGGAGTCATCATGGAGCCATGTGTTGCTGGCATATTTGCCATAGGAACAGCCTGTGCTGTATCCTTTACTAAGAAAAATATCAAAATCAAATGATTTAGGGCTGCAATTAGGGCACCCAACGTTTGCTTTTTTCCGTTTGTATTTACTTTGCATACAAATGTGTTGATGGAGACCTATGTATGATGCTTTGTATTATCAAGCCAAAATCAAAATAGAGGCATTTATATTTTGAAAGCCACCAAAATATTTCTGATTAACGGGTAGACATCTTTGAAACTCAGGCTTGCACACTTCTATAGTTCCATGAGATGAAGGAGCAGAGGCAGTCGGATGGCAAATGGGATGAAGGATGTAAGGACTTGTGCTTCAGTACTCTCTGAAACCCATATGTTTATACATCTGCTATTAAAAAATGTGTTTTTATCCACACTAATAATAAAATGTAAAGACTTTTAAAGCAAATAACAGTTAGATATTCATCCATTATCTTAATAATTCTGGGATCCCTCATTGTAGACATCCTGTCCCTTGCATCCTTTTTTTTGTTGTGCCTATTTTGTTTCAGAAAGTTGAATGAAGAGAATTTGATCACATTTTATAAAAAAATGTTGGGGTTTCTAAGTGTGACAGTGTCCTGTGATACTTATGGTCTCATCTAACCACAAATATTGACAAAGTTATCCATCCTTAAAAGTGGATGTTGTTTTGTTATTTTGTTATTTTCTTTTTAAGGATCTTTTCATGAGTGTTCAAATTGAAAGTATAGCTACCTTTCAATCAAAAAAAATGCCCCAAAATGCATAAGGTAAAATAACTAAGAATAATGTTAAAAACACAAATTATAATTCTAATGAAATATTTTTTAAAAATTTGTGCTTACTTATAAATAAAAACAAAAAGCACAGCCTTAAAAACAATCATGAAAGAAATCAATAGATAAAAAGGAGAAACCTAAGCTGCCCGATAGATAAAAGCATGCTAGTGACGACAGCTGGTATTAAATATATTTCTCAGGATAAAGAATTCCACAGTTTGAATATAGCTACTTAAAAACAGCCTCCATTCCCACCAAATGTATTGGAATAACACTGTCTGTAGAATTTGGTTTCAGAACATTTCTTGCCCCAAGATCTCTCCAGAGCTACATTCAGTGTCACCTGAGCATGTATCTCTTTGCCCTCTCTTCTGTCCCAGATGTGTCCTGCATGGCTCCCTGGTTTATTTTGTTCCATTAATCAATAGGATTCCCATTGCATCCTAAACCATCAACTTTGAAGCCTGGGTTTGAAGAACGTGTGAAGCTAAAATGAAACCAACTACATCAGAATTTGATGTGATGTGTGACTCACACCTGTGTAGCAAATAAATTAAGAGGGTTGAAAGAGACCTCAAAGGTCATCTTGTTCAATGTTTTGTCGACCCATGAAGTCTACTTCTATAGCAATCCTGATAGGTAGCCATCTATTCACAAACTGCTTTAGATCAAAAAAGTTTACCCTGATGCTTTTCCTTATCATTTGAGCTGATTAAAGTTCAGACCTTTTAGGTGCAAGAAAACATTTTTCTACTTATTATTTATGTGACACATACTTTAGAATATCTTCTCCTGGCTAAGCATAAATTCTCCCTTTTTTTCTTAGTCAATCTCTTGTATTAGACTTCAAGCCCTCATTTTCCCCTAAAGCTAAAGTGATGATCTCGCTTATGCTATTTGGAGATAATGTTGGCTGGCTGGTTGGCTGGCTGGCTGGCTGGATAGATGGATGGATGGATGGATGAATAGGATATTCTTAAACTCTGGTGCCCCAAATTAGACACAATACTTTTGGGTCAATTGGCCAAATCCTCTAAGTGCTCTACTTGTGATGGTGCAATATAGATTTGATCAAGTGTTTTTGGCCATTGTATTTTCCCCATATGCATCAATGTTAGTTCAGGGGCTATTGTTTCCAGTCTTGTATATCTATTTTATCTTAAAGCAGAAATTTAATCTTGGTTGAACTTCATGTTGATAGTCTTGGCTTTGTTCTCTATTCTGTCAAATCAACATTGGGGAATTGGCTTTTTACAATAACATTATTTGGGAACTTATAATTTAATTTTATCCTGCTTGCAACATGAACATAGTGCTGAGCAGTCAGGTTTTTCCAGAGCAAATCAGAAACGCTCATTTAAACTAATAAAATCCCAATAAATACAAAGCAGGTGAGAATTCTACTGACTCAGCTGACTCTAAAAAAAACCAGTTTTTTTTTAATTAACTTCCTTGATCGAGCCATATTTGATGCAGGTTATTTAAAATCAGTTTTCTACATATGAAGTCCCTAATTAGGAGGCTTAAATTAACACTTTTAATTAGAAAAATAGCCAAAAAATATAAATACTTTTTGAAAATGTTAAATTCATTCTTTTTGAACTTTTGCCTCAACTGGCAGATTCAAATTTTTCTGATACTACAGAGAAAAGTATAGTGTATTTTTTAAACTGTATTGACCCAAAGTCTTTATATAGTATTTCCCAACTCTCCAAAAGTGATTCCCAGAAGGTAATCCTTAACTTACAACCACAATTGAGCCCAAAATGTATGTTGCTAAGTGAGAAATTTGTTAAGTGAGTTTTGCCCCATTTTACGACTTTTTTTGTCACATTTGTTAAGTAAATCTCGCTGCCAATTGACTTTGCTTGTCAAAATGTTGCAAAAGGTAATCACATGACTCCAGGACACTGCAACCGTCATAAATGTGATTCGGTTGTCAAGCATCTGAATGTGAGTCATGTGATCACATGGATGCTGCAATGGTCATACGTGTGAAAAATGGTCATAAGTCACTTTTTTTTAAGTGCCATTGTAACTTCAAACAGACACTAAATGAATTGAAAATGGAACCCAGTGGAATTTAGCTAAAGTGAAACGGCTGAATTAATCTAAGAGCTGCAGCTAGTGATATTTGGCTTATTTTAATGAACTTCTACAGAAACAGATTACAATTGAGAACTTAATAAGTATCTTGTGCAGAAAGGAAATGTTATCATCTGATCTTTACAGGTAGCAGAAATCTCTGCATGCAAAAATAAAGAGAGGAAGACCACCATACAGAACTCCCTATTTTCAGTCCTTTAAAAGCCAATGGGACTGCTGGGAAGTAAACATTCAATAGAATTACAGATTCTAAAAGCTGGAAGCTTAGTCCTCTGTGTTCAACAACTATTTAATTGCTGATATTTTCACTTCATTATGTGAGATACAATTTCATTCAATTATTTGTCAAATGCTTTCCTCTTACTGAGCACTATGTAGAGTAGAATAAAGAAAGGTCTGCCCACGAATTTATATTCTAAGAATAAGGAAAGGGGAAAGGCAGGGATTAAGGAGAGAGGAAATTGGTAAAGCAAAACCTGGTAAAAGAATGTCTTTCTTTCTTTCTTTCTTTCTTTCTTTCTTTCTTTCTTTCTTTCTTTCTCTTTCTACATTACAATCCAGGAATGAAGAAGTAATTGGAAAGGAGGATCAAAACTTATAAATAGCAGACATAATTTTAGATTTAAGAAGAGCAGTTTGGTTTCACAAGGCAAACATTTTGACTGCAATCTTCCATACCCCTAGCAGGAGACCAAAACCCCTAGGATGGCCTACCCCAATCTGATGCAGTCCATATTGTTGGTATCATTTGCAGCTGTTGAAGATAATAGGTGTTGTAATTTACTATACCTAGAGGTCACCAGTAAAAAGAAATGTTAAAGGATATCTCTAAAATCCTACCTTAACTAAGAAGATTCCTGTATCTTGGTTATAGTAGGGATGTACTTGACTAATGTACAGCTATATACCTGTAGCTGCATTAAAAGAAGAAAAAACCCTAGTATGACCGAGAGAGAATAGAGTAGAGTAGAACAGAACAGAATAACAGAGTTGGAAAGGACCTTGGAGCTCTTCTAGTCCAACCGCCATCTTAGGCTATGCCTGATAGCTAGATTTTTAAAATGGAGGATTATTTATTTGATGGTGCATTCAATATAAAGTCTAAAGATGCAAGGCTGCGTTTCATGGAGGTCATCTGATACAACTGCATCTCCCAGTATATTTTGCTTGATTTAGAGTAGCTGGAAAAAGGAATAAAACTCGGAAGTTGAATAAGCAGCCTAGCTCACCATAGCTTTATGCACTTTTAACTTTACAGACCATTGTAACAGATTACCTCAGATGACCCAACTCATACTGTGCTACTAACAAACCTCTGAAAAAGTATGTGGTAAGGAAGGGGTGCCTAGGAATGGACTATGTCCACTGAAACAGTGTGTCCCACCTGATTAACCCCACCCATTAGATAATGGACAAGAGCAAATTCTTTTGAGATACTAAGAAATAAAGGTCAAGAGTGAGGAAACTAGGCCTGTCTGGGGAAACAACTTTATTTTTTTTAATCAGCTGTAAGAAAGATAGGCTTCCTGACACACAGGTTTCCCAGTCTCATGACTTTCTATGCAGAGCAAAATTTCAAAAAATTGTGTAATTAGACCTGTTCCTTCTCCATAAAGAACAAGAAGAGAACATGGAAGTGTATCATGTTTTCATTCTCCCCCCACACACACATATTCAAATTCCTTGTTGAACCTAACGGCTTATATTGAGTATCCGGAGACAAATTTGTCACACCATTCTTAGTCTGTTTTTTTTAGTACCTTATCTCCCTGAAAATGTAGAGAAGTTTCTCTGGATGCTTAAGGCATTTATTATTTATATACATTTTATAATATTGGCTTCATGAATAGTCTCTTGCCAAAAAAAATAAAAATGGTTAGACATGTCTCTTCCCCAAAGGCTTGCAGTCAAAAGCCAGATTATGATTTCAGAGAAGAAATTTTAGCACTGTTCATCATGACATAAAACTGAATTGTGGAGTCTTAAAAAATTAATAATTTTTCCAAGTTGTACAATGAAGTCATTGTTGGATTGGGAAGATCCAGGGAGATCCAGGTTCAAGTCTTCTTTTATCATGGAAGTTTGTTAGGTGTCCTTGGGCTAATCTCTTTATCTCTTTGCTCAACCTATCTCATACAATTGTTGTGGTGGAGAATTTGGAGAAGGGAATGTTTTATCCACCACCACCAGCTCCTGGAGAAAAGGCAACATAAAAATTGAAAGAATCACAAATAATTTTATTTAAGGAAGCTTGCATAATTATAAGTATGGAAAGGTTTGCTCATTGGTTTGCTTGTTTTGTTTGAAAGTTTTATATTCCACCATTCTTCAATAGAGTTTATAGAAAGACTTTGAAATCCAGGTTGAAGCCAGGAGCCGATTCAGGACTTCATGATCATTATACCAACCATGGGCCTATCTCAGGTCCTTGTCAACCCATGACTTCTTGGATTCCTAGTCTTATAACTGGCTAAAAAAAGAGTCAATAGTTCTGTAATCTCTTTGTAATAAACATACAACCTCCTTCTAGTATTTAGATTTAAAGCAGACGTAAAGTGAGATTTGGACATTAAGTGTGAAACCTACTGGGTCAGGCTGGACAGCCTCTTAGAGCACCTTCTATATTAAAGCCACATAGGCAGAATTGCAGCTTGCAAAAGAACAGGAAGCCAGTGCCTAACCACAAGATGTCAAAAGTCCAAGGTTCAATTAAAGTTCGTTAACATGTAATCCATAAACAAAAGGAGAAGTAAGACCCCATCTCCTTATAAGGTTTTCTCCTCAAGGTAACCACTAAGAAATGTGTTATGTATTTCTGTGTTGCAATGCTTTTGAGAATGTATAAGAATGCGTGCTTCGATAATTACAGTTGTTCAGAACTTGCAATGTTAAGCCACGGGCTAGCTTTCTGAACCTGACTGCCAAATAAACTTTTCCTGTATCCTGAGAAGTCTAAAGCCTGTCATTTTCTGCAACAGATTGCTGGTGACAGATACTTTCCAGAGGTATAAATACATTATTAGAGTAATCTGCTCTAGAGAATTAGCCTACAGAGAAAAATCTAAGGGATTCCTAAATACTCTATGGGATTTCTTGTTGGCAGAGCTGGTGATCATATCAAATATCACACTGTGGAAGGATGAGATGGAAAGAGCCATTGAAACAATTGTACCACCAGAGATGGCATTCAGCAGATTCTGACCAGTTCTGGAGAACTGGTGGCAGAAATTTTGAGTAGTTCGGAGAATCGGTAAATACCACCTCTGAGTGGCCCCACCCACATCTATTCTCTGCCTCCCGAGTCTCGGCTGATTGGGAGGAAATGGGGATTTTACAGTAACTTTTCCCTGGAGTGTGGAGGGAATGGAGATTTAACAGTATCCTTCCCGTGCCATGCCCACCAAGCCATGCCACGCCCACAGAAATGGTAGTAAAAAAAATTGAATCCCACCACTGCTAAATACCCTTCTCAGCATTGTGGAAACAGAAATACACCTTGGGCTGTAATACATTGGGAATTCAGATAGTGCAAGTCTAAAATCAAATGCAACTAATTATTTTGGGATGCTGCAGGGCAACTGAATAATACTTGATAATGATAGTTTTTACATCTCGGGTGATGAATTTGCTAAGTTCTTTGAAAACACAGCTTCAAAGTAGTATTTCATTTTACAACTACAACAGATGTAGACAGATGGTTGCATTTCTGATTAGTCGTGGTTTAAAGGATTAATTTAAGTTTCCAAAACCTGCAGATACAGACGAGATGATTGCATCTGTTCAACTTACCTCTTGCACCTTTTTGATCCATATTTATGTTAGCTGTTAGCATCTAGTCAAGGAGATCTGGGTAGGTGGGTTCAGATAAGGGCAGATATTCCGGTATTGAAAAAAAAACCCCAGTGGTGCAGATCCTCCTAAAGAAGTCATAATCTTTGGAGCAATGGATTATAAAATTGATTGCATTCCTATTGCTGCAGTGATACATTTGCTATTTCAGCTATGGGCCTTTTGACTTCCTTGTATTTTTCATTGGCATTAAAGGTATCGTTAGCCTCTAGGACAAGGTGTCAAACTCAATTTCATTGAGGGCCGCACCAGGGCTGTGATTGACCTGGGAGGGCATGGCAGCTTGACACCACTCCTCAAACTGCTGGCATTGCACTGGGTAGACCAGGCTGAAGCCACGTGGGCCCAATGTTTCCTCTTCGCATTGGGTAGACCAGGCCAAAGTCACGCAGGCCAGCCCCTTACATTTTCCAGGACAGCCTCATGGGCCGGATCTGACCATATCACAGGCCCGCGGGCCTTGAGTTTGACACCCCTGCTTTAGGACAACAACTCTCTTCATTTCTGTTAGCAGGCCACGCTGGCTGGAGATGACAAGTGTTGTAGATCTTGGGGAAGTTTAGGCTGAAGTTGACCACACACTTTGTAGAGATTTCACTGAGCTTGATGGTATTTGAAAGCTGTTGCAAGATGTTTCATTGTATTTTCCTTTTTCTCTTCTTCGTTAGCAGTTTCTTCCTCGGTGTTCATCGTGGCCATTTTGGTGCTATTGCTCCTTTTGTACCACCGGGACCCTCTGTGCTGCCAATTTCTGTGCTCTTGCCGACTATTCCAGAGCCCTAGCCAATATGTGAGTATCTCGCCAGTTTGGCTGTTACTTTGGGTTTCATCCACTTCCCTTGCTCATCAGGCCATGCCGTTCCTCCCGCCTGGGTAAAGAGCGTGCCTCTGTGTTCTGCAAGGCCCGGAGGCCACACGCTGCTCCCCTGCACGGCCTCTGGCAGGCCTCTCTTTGCATGGTTGTCATTCTAACCCTTGGAATAACGAAGTCTAGTTTTCTTTTCTGCCGGCTGAATAGTAGCTCAAGGTCTATTTACAGTTCTCTCCTGCCAAGTTATAGTGTTGCTCACCCAGGAGCGCCTGTTTACTTCCCACTCTGTCTACAAACAAAGCCTTTTCACCTGAGCCTGGCCCTGAGCCTGGCTGCTTCTGAGAGTGGGCGGCACTATCTGGGAGCGGGTATTGAAGTATGGAAACAGATGGGAAGGTAACACTGAGAGTGAGTCCTGTCAGGGGGTAATGATGGTGCCTAGAGAACTGTGCCTCTCCTTACCTTTCTGGCCCTTTCAGCCCCAGGGCCTCCTCTTTTTTCTCACAGGGATGGAAAACAGCAGGGAATGCTCCTGTTAGGAACTCGTAAATGCAGACAACCCCATTCTCCGTTGCCAGTATCCCGGCAACCAGCATTATACCTTTCACAGTTCACGACTGGAGACAGCCAGAAAGAGAACATTCTCCCGAGTTCCTCCTTTCTCTCTTTTGTGGAGGCACATCGTGGTGTTTTTAAAATTTTAAATAATGCTTGTTTGCAAGCACTGAAGAAATGGAACCAAAAGGATTCCAGAATGAGTGGATTCATTACACCTTCTGCCCATTCTCTCATTCTACCCCACCCATTACAATTTCAAAAATCTTGGAGGGTATAGCCCAGGGGTGAAATTCAGCAGGTTCTGGAGAACCGATAGCGGAAACTTTCAACAGTTCAGAGAACCGGCAAATATCACCTCTGGCTGGCCCCAGAGTGGGGTGGGAATGGGGATTTTGCAATATCCTTCTCCTGCCACGCCCACCAAGCCACGCCCACAAACCAATAGTAAAAAAAAATTGTATTTCACCACTGGTATAGCCTGCGGTCTATTCTGATTGCGATATTGTATGTATGTATTTCCATATCCAGAGGTATCTTTCTATTCTATATGTCAGGCCTAGAAGCCATCTTTTGCATTGGGCCTTCAGGCCTGCCACATTTATTGCTATGGGAAACTGGGAGGGGGATTATATGGAGTGGGGTAATTTAGTCAAAATAACATTCTTTCTCAGAGAGTCAAGAACACCTTGCCCTGCATCTGGAGTGGCATGATTGGGAGGCATCTCCAGTTGGGACAGTGCCAGATTGGACCATGTGATGGGCATGTTGGTGCTGGTAGGGGCTTGAACTTTCTTTTGGGTGGGGAAAATCTGGAAGCTTTCAGATTTGGGTTTTCCCAGATGTGCCAATCTGACATCTCTAATAAATGGAACTTTGAGGAATCTCAATGGCATCACTTGGAACCTTGACATTCAGTTATAGGATTGGCCGTTAAAATAAACCTCTTCTGCCCTATGCCACAAATGCCATGCAATCTACCACTCTTGACGAAGTATCTGAGAGTTATTTATAATCCACATTGAAAGTCCAAAGAGTGTGTGTTTCAAAGAAGACGTTACTAAGATAATTGTGATGCAAGTAGAGTCTGTGCTACTCTCTCTGTTGCCTCTACTATACTCCCCCCCTTTTGTTGCAACAACACTCCCTTGTAGGTGTCCAGTTTAAATAGAGCTGTCTGTGATTTAATAGAAGTCGCCTTCTCCCATAGCTGTAGTAAGTGTAGAGTAGTGTTTTTAGTTCTCCCCTCTGTGTTTAGAAGAATGGAATCATTATATAGTAAATCTAAATCATATGGAATTATGGAAGTTAGAGAGACAGTGTGGTATAATTTAGAAACTGCTTGAGAGTATCTTGAAAGCAGCTGACATCTGTCTCATCTATGATTCAGCTGAGTGTTTTGCGATAAGGCTTTCTGGGACAGCTTTTTCTCAGGAAGTTCTTTATTACCAAATGTCCCCAGGGTAAGTAGAAAGGCTGCCTTCATGCAACATTTGTTTTTCTTAAGCCGCCCCTGTTTAATAAGGCAAGAAAGCTCCCAGGGTGAAAGTATGACAATTAGCCTGGTCATCCTAGCTGATTTTATGTGCAAAGGCATGTCAAGGTCTCATGATGGTTCTTGCTGATTTTTCTTAGAAGTGCATCGGCCTAAGAACTATGTTGGTGTCTGTTTAGAGCTTTCAGAGTTTTGTTTTAAAAGCAGAGGTCAAGTCAAAGTATCTTGCTTGGAGAGCATGTCCTGTGAGTCGATAGATGTCCCCAAGGATCTAGTTCTCATGGTGGTTCTTGATTACTTTTCTCAGAAGAAGTGCATCAGCCTAATTGCTATGCTCGTCCTATGTTGAGAACTTTCCAAATTCACTTGTTTTGTTTCAAAAGCTGAGGTCAAGTCAAACTGTCTTGGCTTGTATGCCCTGTGATTAGATAGATGTCCCCAAGGACTCAGTTCTCTTCATCTCTTTGAAAATCAATTGCCTGGAAAGAAATCAACCCTTGCTTCCAACCCATATGGATATCCATTCTTGGATAAGAAATAAAATGGCTGGACAGTTTCAGTGTAAACATACTGATAATCATATGATTAAACCTAAACACTATTTTAAATCTATATAAAAGCCAAATACCATTCATCACAAAATCTCCAGAACTGTAAAGCCTACAAACTTGCAATTCGGCATGTATGTTCCGCTTGGCTTCTAGGTGCTTGCTAAGAAAGGATTTTTCAAAATGATCATCAGTATTTCTTATACAGTATTATATTAACACGCGTCGATACTAAGGAGTTAAATGTTCTACTCTCCCTCCCCACCTGAAAGGAACTCTGTTCCAACTGCCAGTTGCCTTATATGGATGTGGCCAGAGTGTGACTCATGCGGCCTACAGGCTGGGAGTTTAGACATTCTACTTCCCTTCCCCACCTGAAAATAACTCTGTTCCAACTGCCAGTTGCCTTATATTATGCTCTGATGCTAAGGAGTTAGACATTCTACATTAATTTTCAAGCTTTAAGTGTCAATTTATCAAGCCCGATGCCACATTGAATGCCATGAAGTTCATTTCCAGGGCTTGGCGTTGTCCATTACCTCTCGTCGCCTTCTTTGGCTCTGGGGGTGGCAGCCAGACAACAAGTCAAAGTGGCAGCTGGCATCGGCTGACTACATGGGGGGGGCTCCCTCTTCGGGGCTGCTCTTGACCTACTCCTAATGGAGGACAAGAATAAGAAAAAAGTCCTGCCCACCTTGGTGAAGAAGGAGGAGCAAAAGTCTACTCCGTTCTACTGACCCCAGAAACAGGAAGCTCAGCAGAGCAGGTACTCTTCCCCCAGGTCAGAGAAGCAGCCTGAGCACAGTTACAATAAGGACAAGTCTCACTTTCAACAACAGGGTAAGTGTCCCTTTCAAGGGGGAGGTGGTCGCCCTTACTGCCGGGGCAAATAGGTTGGGCCCGACCCCACTCATTGGTGGTCGCCTGGCTCTCTTCTCCGAGGCCTGGGTGGAAATCTGCTTGGATGCCTGGGTGATCAGCACGGTCACTCATGTTCTTCGTTTAGGGTTCATTTCCCTTCCCCCAAGTTTCTTTCGTTCTTTTCCCCCGGCCTAATGCATAGAGAAATGTGGGTTGATGCATCAGGCTATTAAACATCTGCTTGACATCGCTGCAGTGGAACTGGTCCCAACGGACGAGGTGGGTCAGGGGTTCTATTCGAACCTGTTCCTTGTATCCAAGTCTTTGGGGGGCTGGAGACCTATCTTCGACTTGAAGCTGTTGAACTAATATTTGGTTTATTGTAAATTTAAGATGGCCTCCCTTAAGTCCATTTTGGCAGGTGTTTGGGAGGGGGATTATATGGCATCTATAGATTTTACGGAGGCTTACCTCCATATCTCCATATTCCCAGATCATAGACGCTTCCTCCGGTTCTCCTACCTGGGGCGCCATTACCAATATAGGGCCCTGCCATTTGGGTTGTCTTCTGCACCCAGGTCTTTTACCAAGGTGCTGGCGGTAGTGGTGGCGTACCTAAGGGCGTTTCCCATTAGGCTACATTGCTACCTGGATGACATCCTTGTCCAGGGGGCGTCCCCGAGTCAGACAAGGGCGGACCTTATGGAGGTTATAGACACTCTACAACGGTTAGGTTTTTCTGATAATTTTGAAAAGAGTTCTCTCTCCCTGTCCACTAGGATCCTCCATTTGGGGGTGTTTATAGATTCCTGTTTAGGAAAGGTTTTCCTCTCCCCAGACCTCAGATCCAGTTTGGTTAAAATGGTTAAGCAGGTCCGCAGGGACGGTTATGTTCCCATAGCTCTTCTCTCCAGCTTGTTGGGGAAACTCATATCCTGCATCGAGGTACTGCCATGGGCGCGGTTGCATGCCAGGACTTTGCAGTGGCGACCCCTGCCATTCCAGAGGGCCAACACCAGCAGCTCACTGGCCAAGGTCAAGGCCACCCATCAGGTACTGATCTCTCTCAAGTGGTGGCTGTCCCCAGCCTTGCTCCAGGGGTGCGACTTCAGGGACCAGGAGTGCCTCATCCTAACCACGGACACCAGCAAGCTGGAGAG